CATCTGGTTCTTCTTTTTTTCATTGAGAGGGTTTTGATTACTGCTTCAATCTCCTTACCTAGTTTCAGGTTTGATCAGATATTTTAGTGCTTCCTGATTCAGTCATCATGGTCATGTGTTTCTAGGAATTTATCTGTTTCTTCTAGGTTGTCCAATTTGTTGGCAGCTAATTGTTCAGAGTAATGTTTTATAATCCTTTTGGCATTTGTTATAATGTCCCCTCTTTCATTTGTAATTTTATTTGAATCTTCTCTCTTATTTTCTTAGTCTAGCTAAGAATTTGTCAATTTTGTTGATCTTTTAAAAAACAAACTCTTGATTTTGTTGATTTTCCCCCCTATTTCTGTTCTTTATTTTATCTCTGCGTTATTCTTTATCATTTCCTTCCTTTTGCTAACTTTTGGTTTAGCTTGTTCTTATTTAAGTATAAAGTTAAGTTGATGATTTAAGATCTTCCTTTCTTAACGTAAGCATATAAACTTCCCTCTTAGTACTGCTGTCACTGAATCCCATTAGTTTTGGTATGTTGTGTTTTCATATTTATTTGTCTCCTAATATCGTCTAAATTCCCTTGAGATTTCTTCTTTGACCCATTGGTTGTTTAAGAATTAGTTTAGTTCTTGTATTTGTGGATCTTTCTGTTTTCCTTTTGCTTTTGATTTCTAGTTTCATTTCATTGTGGTGAGAGAAGATAGTTTGCATGATTTCAGTCTTAAATTTGGTAAGACTTGTTTTGTGGCCTACCTTATACGTATTTTTGATGTGCTATGTTTACTTCAGGGTTTAATTCTGAAGCCTTTTCTAATTTGTCAGTGTTTAATTTTCTGAAATATGTTCATGCCTTTTCAATATACTTAAAATACTTGAAAAATTAAGACATTACTTTTTATTTGTTTTTTAAAATAAATTTATTTGTTTATTTATTTTTGGTTGTGTTGGGTCTTTGTTGCTGTGCACGGGCTTTCTCTAGTTGCAGCGAGCAGGGGCTACTCATCATTGCAGTGCACGGACTTCTCATTGCAGTGGCTTCTCTTGTTGCGGAGCACGGGCTCTAGGTGTGTGGGCTTCAGTAGTTGTGGCACATGGGCTTAGTTACTCTGCAGCATGTGGGATCTTCCCAGACAAGGGCTCGAACCTGCGTCCCCTGCACTGGCAGGCGGTTTCTTAACCACTGCACCACCAGGGAAGTCCCAATATTACTTTTTAGAAATTTTAGATTTATAGAAAATTTGAAAAGGATAATACAAAGACTTCCCACACTGTCCTTCTTCCCCCATGCACACTTTGTTTTCTCTATTATTAACAACTTACTTTAGTCTGGTACAATTGTTACAGTTAATAAACCAATATTGTTACATTGTTATTAACTAAAGAACATAGTTTATTCAGATTTCCTTAGTTTTTACCTGATGTTCTTTTTCTCTTCCAGGATCCCATCTAGGATACTGCATTACATTTAGTTGTCATTTCTCTTTAGGCTCTTTAAGGCTTTGTTTTTGATGACCTTGACAGTTTTGAGGAGTATTGGTTAGGCATATCGTAGGATTTTCCTCTACTGGAATTTGTCTGATGTTTTTCTCATGATTAGACTGGGATTATGGGTTTTGGGGAAGATATATTTGACATTTTAGTCTGCAGTTTTAAAATGTACCTTTTGAGGTAAAACCAGTTATATCAGTTACTTTGTTTTCTCTTTTCTGTATCCCCCTTCCAGTATTCACCTAAAGAATATCCTAATTATATTATACTTTTAAGTTATGGATTTAAAAGGAACTTTCTATCAAACTTCCTTATAAAATCCACCTTTTAAAAAAATATAGTGTTTAAAATGGCCTGGTTTGTCTCTTTGGGGAACAGATACAATTAAAAGTGGGTTTTTTCCCCCCAGACTTTGAAATATAACTGTGAGCAAAACAAGATAAAAAAATGAAACAGCTAAAGTCCAAGTTAGTTATTGTGTGTAGTATTTGTGTATGCTTTTGTTTTATTTATTGTGATAAATGTACATATAATGAAATTTAACATTTTAAACATTTTGAAGTGTATAGCTCAGTGGCATTAAGTACGTTCACTTTGTTGTGCAAACATGTATATCCTTTTGTATTAGTCGGCTAGGGCTGCTATAATAAAAAAAACACAGACGAGGTGGCTTAAACAACAGAAATTTATTGTCTCACAGGTCTGGAGGCTAGAAGTCCAAGATTTGAGAGTTAGGTTTGGTTTCCACTGATTCCTGTCTCCTTGCAGATGGCTGTTTTCTCACGGCCTTTCCTCTGAGCCTGCATCCCTGGTGTCTCTGTCTCTTCTTATAAGGACACCAGTCATATTGGATTAGGGCCCTACCCTTATGACCCTATTTAACCTTAATTATCTCCTTACAGGCCCTATCTCCAAATACAGTTACATTGGGAGTTAGAGCTTCAACATAGGAATTTAATGGGGACACAGTTCAGTCCATAACATCTTTTATGTAGTGCTTCTAATTTATCTCCCAGAAAACCTGCCATCATCATCAATATATTAGTTTCCTAGTCTGCTCTCACAAATTATCAAAAACTAGGTTGCTTAAAATAATGGAAACTTAATTCTATCACAGTTCTGGAAGCCAGAAGTCTGAAGTCTATCACTGGGCAGAAATCAAGGTGTCAGCAGTGATGATCTCTCTCCAGACTCTATAGGAGAATCTGTTCCTCGCCTTGTCTCAATTCTGGTAGCTGCTGGCATTCCTGGCTTTGGCTGCAGTCTTTAAGGCCAGTGTTTTCAAATCTCTTTCTGCTGTCTTTACCTTCGCTGTGTATAGCCAGATGTCTCCATGTCCCCTTCTTTATAAGGATACATGTGATTGTATTTAGGGCCCATCCAGATGATCCAGGATAATCTCTCCATCTCAAAATCTTTCACTTAGTCACATCTGTAGAGGCACTTTTTTTTCTTTTGCCATATAAAGTAAAATTTACAGGTTCGAGGGAGTAGGATGTGGATATCTTTTGTAGGACCATTTTTTAACCTATCATACTGAGCAACTCATAGTAGACTTCTCATGTTCCCACTTTGATTTATAGTTTGTAATAGGCCTCAGTATCTAGTTCTGGGTGGGTAAAGGCTGGTGGCAGTGGGTGGCAGAATATTCTCATCTCTTCTAGACATTATGCAAAAAATTCTAGGCCTGTGTTCTCAGTGGGTGGTCCCAGAAGTGTCAGCATCAGCATCACTTTAGGAACTTAGAAATACAAATGATCAGGCTTCAGTCTTAGACCTGCCAAATCAGGAACTCTGAAGGTAGGGCCTAGCCATCTCTGCATAACAAGCCCTCTGGGTCATTCCAGTGCACCCTGAAGTTTGAGAAACACTTTTCTAGATTATTGACATTATCAGTATTAAAACCATATTCCCTATCCTCTCCAAAGTTTTTCTGCTTAATGCTAATACTTAAATTAGTCTAGGATTTATTGTCCACAAACTTTGTTTTCTGTAGAGATACAAACATTTAGTACCAAATCTTGGTACTGATAATCAGTGAAATTAATTCATTTACTCAATAAAAGTTTGCACTGGGCTAATTTTTGTCAGTTGTATTTTATTTAGATGTAGTCATTTTATAAAGTAATGTTACTGGGATCCAGAAGTGATATGAATTTTTTCTCTAGTCCTTGAAAATGTGGATAAACTCATTAGCCTGAATTTTACTTTATCTTCTGTATCCCTGTGTACATTTGGGGATACAATACAAAATTTGTAATCTTTCATTCTGCCTACATTGTTAGGCTTTTATTATGTGCTATCCAGTGGAAGTGCTGAAGTGAGATAAATGAATTCTTTTCCTCAGTGTGTCCACATTGTAGCTCAGAAAACACACAGGTAAACAGAATTGATATAGAGCTATCACTAGTTGCTATCACAATTGAGAAACACAGCTTTACATAGTTGAAGAAGTTAAAGAAGCATCTGCCAGGATGACTGAGCTAAATATCGAAAAACTAGTAGAGAGGTGTTAGCAAGGTTAAGGAGAGATAGAAAGTAGGTAGAGTTCACCATGTGAAAAGGCAGGAAAGCTGAGAGAGCATATGGGCTCTTCTGGGAGTTGAAGGGGTTTAGTATAGTAGAAACGTGGAGTGAAGGGGAGAGTAAAGATTGGGGATAAATAGATGAGGCTTAGGTCATTGATGAGCACTGTTGAAGGCCTTGAGGCATAGATGTGATGTCTTCAGGGTAGCCATTGCAAAATGATCACTTACATCGTTTTGGGAAGGATGAATTTGAGAGGATAGTGAGTCTAGAAATAGAACAGTTACAGTAATCTAGGTGAGAATAGTAGTAGCTATGGTGGTGCCATTTTTTGAGAATAAAAATTCAGAAGAGGAGCAACCTGGTTTTAGGAATGGGGGAAAGGTGATGTGTAGAGTTCCGGGTAAGATATATTGAGTTTCATCATTTGTGAAGTGTGATAAAATTAGGGGTGGGTAGATTTTTGACAAGTAAATTTTCAGTGGAGTGTTGGGGTGGAGGTCACCTTATACTAGATTGAAGGCTAAATTGAGGAAGCAGGAGAGTATCAATATACACTATTCTCTAGAATAATCTTTCCTGGCATTTAGTAAGTATTTAATCAGTGTTAGCCATTATTATGGCTATTAGCATACACTTTTATGCCATCTCATTTTTTTTTTTTCTTCAACTTTTTGGTGTATTTTTTGGTATGTATGTAATAATATTAGATAAGCATTGATATAGATAGAAGTGTGTGTTTTATTAACAAGTAATAATTTTAATTATGCTATTGCCATACTATTAGTATTAATGAAAACAAGAGAACTAAAAAGTTTGTTTCTCATTTGAATAGATGACTGTTCCTCAAAAAATGGTACTTAGCAATAGTTTCCTGAAGATTACTGTAATAATTCAATTTATAGTTTTTAATTTAAAAGAATAGTGTATCAGATGTATTTATTCATACCCGAAGGAAAAAAACTAAATGATTGCCTTTACATGTATTCTTTCAGGTTTGATTTAATTTCGAATGAGATTGTTCTTGCAACGAGATGTTAATAAGACAAAATCAAGGTAAGTAGAAGACAACTTTGTTAAATATTACATATCAAAGTAGGAATAATACAAAAAATTTATGTTTAAAAAGCGTGCCTCCAAATCCAAAATCAATGAGTTTTTAAATTAAATTTTGAAATACAAAGAACCAACTTTTTGATGCACTTGGTCCAGTTGATTTGATGGAAGTGAAAATACAGCTGTCAAATTGTGAAACTAAAGTATGTAGTTTCCAGTGACTACTAAACATGTTCAGAAATCAAGTTGATGTTTGGTTTAGCCACTCGGAAACCAGTTCAGTAAGAGATTTGCTAGGTTGCTTCAGTGTTCCCTTCTTAGTGGGTTATAGTACTTGAGTAGTCTTTGCTTTTGTAAGTTTTACTTTCTTATTTCCATTAACAAAGAAAGCACTTCTACAGTTGTTTATATTTGCCAAATTATGACTTCTTTATGTTAATATAATGTTCAGAGTTATAAATGATTGTTTTAATTTTTTTGTATCTCTACTGAATGACTTTTCTAATTTAGCATTCTGATTTATTTTCATTTTCTAAGACTGTTGACTTCAGAAAATTGGATTGTGATCATGTACTTTTGGTCTGATATGTGAAAGATTGCTTTTTTAATAATATAAGTTTTTGAAATGTTAAAAAGGTGCATTTACTATCTGTTGGTAAGTGAACGTGGCTTCAGGATATAAACAGATTAAAAAAGAATACTTTGATTACATTGCAGTTAAGTTGGGTCTTTCTAAATCTAACTAGATGTTTCAACTGTCAAGAACTTGCTGATCCCAATGGTTAAAAAAAAAAAAAAAAAAAGGCCTAGGATGAGAAGTGCTGTAGTTGAATAATGTGCAGTTAAATAGTGTATTCTCAATTAGTGGTTTAGGCATAATCTGAAGGAAAGTTTCCATTTTATTGGTATTATGTAGTAATAATAGTAGTGGTAGTGTGGAGAATACTTATAGTATTAAGTGCTTCTCGCGCCTTATTAATCTTTATGGTACCTCCTATAAGGCAGGTACTGCTGTCTAGAAAATTTTTATTTTTTGGTTAATAGTGAGCTATTTCTTTTTCTTTAGAAACTTTATTTTCACAGCATTTATTATAAGGAACACTTGCCTGTATATCTTTCTGAAGGGGAGAAGAAGCTAGATTTTTGTACTTAAAGTCTTCTAGTGATTTTTGTTTGCTAGTTGAATATGGTGTCTATTAGAATGTTTGTTCTGATTTCTTACAAGTTAGATATTGCTCATGGGGTGACACTGGTTTAACTTATTCTGATTTTATTCCAGCACAATTATATATCACTTTTCTTTTTTGGTTAAGGTATAATTTACATTTTTATTAAGTTATGTATGGTAAAATGTACAAAATTTAAAGTATAGAGCTGAATGAGTTTTTATGTATATGTTCACATGTATAACCACCATGTAATTTAAGATGTAGAACACTGTCATTGTCCCAGAAAGTTCCTAGTGCTCTTTCCTTTCCAATCCAATAGCCTTTCCCCCAAGGTAAGCATCTTTCTGAGTTCTGTCAGGATAGCTTAGTTTTACCTGTTCTTGAACTTTATGTACCTAGAGTTATATAATATGTACTCTTTTGTATCTGGCTTTTTTCATTCAACATAATGTTTCTGAGTTTCCTCCATGTTGTTATGAGTACCAGTAGTTTATTATTTTTTATTGCTGAGTAACATTCCATTGTATGAACATAATACAAATTTTTATGTATTTTCTCTATAATTTTGTTTATTGTATTCTCCATGACTCTGACCTCACTTGCCAACTTTCTACACTGCTTTCCTTCGTCTAGTTGTCTCCTTCATTGTCCCCCATCACCTGCACAATAAAATGTAAACTCATAACATGGTATATAATGATCTCACTGCAGCTATTCCAGAATGCCTAGAATTATCTGAATAAACCAAATATGATGTTCATAGTGTTAGTTTTAGTTCTGTGTATATGTTGTCACTCTTGCCTACCCCCTTGCCTCCCCAACTGCTAATATATTTTCTCCTGGTTGTCAGCTAATCTCCTGAAATAGTCTACCTCAAGCATCATCTTGTCCTTAGAGCCAGACCTGCCATACTGCAGTAGTCTGTTTTCCTTACTAGACTGTGAGCTCTTTGAAGGTAGATACCATCCATGTCTTATTTATCTTAGTAGCACAGTGCCAGAGTACTGTGTATACTCAGTGATTTGTTAAACATAGAACAGCCAACAGAATTCTCTCTCTAACACTAGGGGCTCAGAGTACTGGCTGGAATGGGATGAGAGCATTGGCACTTCAGTTGCTGTTGGACTATAGGAAGGAGCCAGTGAAGGCAATCCAAAAGTAACATTATAGGCATTTTGGAAAGAGAAATAAAATATCCTCCTAGTCTTCTTTCAGTCCGGTTGGAATAAAATGGCTAATAATGTTCTTAGTCCAGACCTTAAGGAAGATTGAGTGTTGTTGATTTTGATTACTCTTTCCAAATAAAGGCATTAATCCATGCTATGGAAATTGGAGTATTTGCTACTAGAAGTATTCTCTTTGTGAGTTCCTACTAGTTATTTCTTTCATTTAAAGATTTTAAAAGATGTGTTAGACTAATACAAGTAGAAGATTAAGAAGACTGGTCACATCTTTAAGAAGTGAAGAAAACTTTTCCTCATTTTCCTGGGGGTAAAAAACTGTTGGAGTGGAAGAAAAAATTGAATCATAGTCTGGAATGGTAACATTTTTGATTCCTATAGCTTAGGAAGCTTGCTGTTTGCTGAGAAGTATTTTTAAAGATTATGTTTTATCATTATAGATCTGTAATTTATATAAACAATATGCTTTCTTAAGAAATGAAACTTTAAAAAAATTTTAAAGCATTTTGCGCTAGTTTTCTTCTTTGAGGTTTGGAATTGGGCTAGTTGGGTTGGCTATCCTAGTCACTTGGGTGGTTTTTATGCCTGAAGCTTTATTGCCATCTAGCAAGTCCAAAGCAAGGAGAGGTTCTTCCCCACTGGGATCAATTTGTTGCTTTCCCTCTCTGCAGCTTCTACCATAAAGCTTGAACACAGAGTTGGGCATTGACCCCATCTCATGCTGTTCCTTCTGTCTCCCTGCAAGGATTTTTCTTAGACACAGACTCTTATCAAATGTAGAACCTTGGTTATTTCTTTTATCTCATCCTGGATGTAAAGTGTGTTTAGTTCTCTTTTTGATAAAATTTGAGTATTGAGAGAAGTTTACCCTTGAGATTGCTTGACTTATGTGTCTCTAAGAGATTTTAGATTAGTTTTTCTTCTCAGAGGCTGACAGGTATACCTCGGTTTCAGACACTTCCTCTTCATTTTGTACTTCAATATTTAACAGTCAGATGCTGCTAAGCTTTTTTATTTTGCAGAATTCCTGAATCCAGGAATTTAAAGTTCTTTATGAATGTCTTATATTAGTTTAATTTCATTAATTTCCAAATTAACCTTTCCGTGCTTCCATTCTTTAGTGGTACTGTAGATGTGCTTCCCTTTGTTGTACTGTGAAAAAGAAAACTTTTTAATTAATGAAATTGTTTGTTTCTAATTCTAGATAAGATTGCACAATGTACATTCAGCCTTTTCCAAATATATTGCCAAGTAACATTTAGTATTTTCAAAGCTTTATCTTTTTATATAAAAGCCACATATGCTTATATGTATAAGCAGACAGTACAGAAATATTTAAAATAAGAAGTAAAACTCTCCTCTCGCTCAGCCCTGTACTCCCCATAAGTTGTCCAAAATGGCTGGTATGTATTCTGCCTTGTTTTGTCACTGTTTTCCAATATGTCTTGGACATTTTTTTCATATATGCATTACATGTAATATAACTGTTTCCTTCTTAATAAACACTTGGGTAAATCTCAGGGGGTTTTTTGCTGCTAGAGCAGTGCTGCAGTAAATATTCTTAACTATATCATTGTGATTGTGTGAGAATGTCTATAGGATAACTTGTAGCAATGGATTACTGGGTCAATGGGTGTGTACACTTTAATTTCTGATATATATACTGCAAATGAGATTGTACCACTTAATATTCTATTAGCAGTTTTTGAGAATATTTGTTTTCCCAGACCCTGATAAATATTAACCAGTGTTTTAATCTTTGCTAGTCTGATCATTGAAAAGTGGTATTTATTTGACTGTGCATTTCTTTGTGAGATTCTCAAAGGCTTGAAATATCACCTTCATCATAGCTTAATCCATTGAGAACATATAATTTGCAAAAGGTTTTTTTTTATTGTTAAATCCATCAATTAACATACCTTCATGTTTTATGTACTGCCTTCAGTTACTTAATATTGAATAACCAGATTGTCTTCTTTGTTCCCTTCATAAAGCTATTTATTTAGGATAACTATTTTCTTATGATGAATTTCTTTATAGTTTGCTACAAACTAATGTTAGCATAGTCTGTAGAAAGAAAATAAAAGCCATTACTAAGTATTAGGTAAATTAAGTCTAGATTAATAGCATGCTGCCAAAATCTGTTGTCTCTTGGAACTCAGGCATTTGAAAACTTTCCTTGTTTGTCATCATTTTTTTGCTGCCTTCAGCAGTAAAAAAAAAAAGTGGCAAACGTCATTCAAATATGTAAACAGTAAACCATAAAGCTGTCCTGTCAGACCAAACAATTTTGGAATTGCTGTAGTTTAGTCTTCTATAGTAGGTCTAAACTGTAAATAAAGGTGCTAAATAAAACAAGGCATTCAGTAAGCCTTTATTGAAACCTAACGTTCTAGGCACTATGCTATATGTTAAGTATGCATTGGTAATTAGAATCTCAGTTCTGTATAATTAATTATGTCATGAACAGAATACTGACTGGTATGTATAGGGGAGTATAGTGGGACTAAGGAGGGAATGTTGAAGGAAGATAATGAGAAAGGCTTTATAGAAGAGGTGATATTTGAATTGTACCCTGAAGGAAAGAATAGAATTTTGATTGTAGGATGACCTTGGGAAAATATGGACAGAGAGGGTATAAACTGAAGCT